GAACACAATTATAGAAACGCCATAAAATTTAAGAGATAGAAAGAGAGAGAGATTAAACAAGCATGTTAAGTAAACATATACATACATACATACATACATACATACATACATACATACATACATACATACATACATACATACATGCATACATACATACATACATACATACATACATACATACATACATACATACATACATACATACATACATACATACATACATACATACATACATACATACATACATACATACATACATACATAAACATGGGGATGGGGGGGGGTACATTAAACAAGTTTTTTATAACATTTAGCACCATGGTATTTGCAATAGTTAGGTCTTTAGTAGAACTTACTCAATGCTATAAAAAGCAGTGTACTTAAGTTGTTTTGTTTCGTAATTGCATCAACAGAAAAGTTCAGAAAACACAGCAAAAACAAGTAAATTCAACTCATTTGACAAATTAGTTAAATGTACTTGTTTCCTTAAGTAGATTCAGTTGTTACTTTTTACAGTGTGGGTAGTGGATTTTGATCACCGTAATTTGCATTTTCTTACCCAGTGTATCAAAAACAATAAAAATTTTTGAGAAAAAGTGTGGCATTTATATAATGGCTATATTACACTTCAATGCTCTGAAAAGTTCATTGGGACATGAAAACATTTGCAGGAGTGCATCAGTGTGGTGTAGTATCTGCTCTGGTGGCATGAAAGTTGCTTTGATAGCTTGCGATTGGGTCTCATCTTCCTCAAAAAAAGCTCAGCTCAGAGATTTCTGGCATTTAATGTGGTCAACGAACCACCTTTTGGTACTTTGGCTGAAGCAATGGCTATTCTTACAAGGGTACATGCCCCAGTGGGAGATGGCTCCATTCTGAGGAACACAATGGCTTTGTTGCTGATTGACTCCATTTCACAGTTAGGATTCTAAGGTGAGAGTTTTAGAGGTGCTCAGCCTCTTCTGCAACTATGGTAATGCAATTTTTCCATTATTTGCTAAATGTTACAAACATATATATAAATGTCCAAGGCCAAGGAGCTATAATACTATGGCAACACAAATTTCCTGGGCCCGCTTCGCCCAGATCATCCTCTACTTGTACCACAGCCGTATGTAGGTCTGCTTAAAGAAAATAATCATACAAACATCACAAACAGGAACAATTAAGCGTGACACAGACTCATGGTCATTGTACTCTGTCTCTGTAGTGTCCTCAAGGGACCACTGGAGCTTTCCTTTGCGGGAGGCATTCTCTGTCTGGCATAACCTATGGGAAATTCAGGCTTGGATTTATATCCCAAGATTTATATCCCCTGAGGAGCACATGGCAAGCATGAATGTTCCCTACCATGACCATGACCAGATTGCTTAAGCGAGTCCAGGTCTTTTTGGCAACGGAATAGTTTCACCGTGTTTGGTCACTTGGTGTCCCGTACGGTATTTGTGCACCCCTCAGTGACAAAGCATCGTTGATTTAATGAACTTTTATTTAAAAGTAAAGTATGTTCTTCCCTGGACACATGTTTAGGGATGGGATCTGTCCCTCTACAGACTAATACCTTACACCTGGGCCTGGGATTCTGGGCCTCCCCTCTCTTCCTCCAGACTCTGGGACCTCCATCACCTAATGAAATGCTGAAATACAGCACTCAGGTGTTTATTAATCTGTGGACAATGTCCAGCAGTTACTCAAACAATACTCTGATCAGCTCACAGTGTCTTTGCAAGTAGAGCAGACACGTTTTTTTTTCTTTCTGTGAGCGTCACTGTGGTGAACACATCTGAATTCCGAGCTTCTGCTGCGGCTGGTGTAGAGTTAGTAAGCCGCTCTGTCATTTTGTACATTGCTTTTCATAATCTTGATGCCCACCAAAGAAAAAAGCATGTTGCTATAAAAGTTTACAATAAACATTTTACAATGCATGTTTTACAACATATGACTGCTGATCTGAGGTGTTTCTAGCTGGTCATGTGCTAGTTTACACGGTCTTCACCTAGTCATGTGCTGGTCAAGGATCAGTTTAAACCAGTAAATGAATATCTAAATGAACAGTTTAAAGACGTCCTGAACGTCTCTACTGATGTAGAACATGACTCTTTCAATTAAAAAAGAGAACAAAATATATATTTAATAAATATATTGATATAGAATGTTCTGTTCCTAATACTAATCTGTTCTTTTAATATCTATTGAATAAGTACGTGTAAAATAATTCTGCTCGATATGAGACAGAATTTGCTGTGAAAGTATTAGAACAAATGAAGACATCCACTGCGTGCATCAGCAAGAAGTTCAGCAAAGTGAGGTGAACTTCATCGTGATTTACGATTGACTCCAGCAGTCTGAATCCTGTGGAAGGCAACAGACCTGTCACATCCTGCCACTTTCTACTTTCTTCAGTTTTTCTGACTGAATTCATCCACCTGAAGCTTGAGTCAGAAGGGACCCACTGACACCTATGTTAAAGTGGAGAAACTGTGTTTCTTTTACGTTTTTAAACCTGGTACCAACACATCTTTGTTTCCATGTTATTGGAAGCTTTTTGCCAAACCAGATGTACCACCTCTGCGCACCCTTTGCTGAATTAAAGCACTTTGATGCCAAGGTACACCCAATTTCTACACAAATACAATTTGAAACTCATTGAATTTCTTCTATTTGGTTAAAGAAAATCTACTTTACACAATATACATGCCCACAACAAAACAACGATTTGAATCAAGAAGAA